TGCCTTACTTCATGACGCTATGCGGGACTGTGCATAGGGCCCTGCCCGGACTCACCAACTCTCAGCACCCGTGTGATAGCTGAGTCATTTTGAGACCAGTATGTGTGAGAGCTAATGAACCTGTGGATGTCTGAGGTGAGTTTCCACTAGACCACCGCACCCGCGGAGGCCGCGGTAGAGTTGGCAGATTGCCATGATTTCGAGAACCGTACATTGTTGCGCTTAGGTGCCCCAGAGGAAGTCTCCAGTAATTCCATGCCATGTAATCTGCGGGCTTGCACGGGGGCCATGAGGCTTGGGGGCTTGGGGCTTCGAAGCTGGAAAAGTTGGCAGGTGAGCTCGCCAGTGAGGCGACAGCATGATGAATAGCTTGATGAAGATCTTAAGTGGGAAGCAGCCCGAAAACGTCGGGCAAGTGGACTAGACTGGATTCCTTACGTGACAAGGCTTGCAATTTCCCTCTTACTTGCTTTGGGCTTCTTCTCACCCATGGTGCGTCATTACCAGACTGTTTAGACTCGTCTCGAAGTCTGAGTCTGAGGCAAGAATAGACAAGGTGCCTGCTCACCAAAGCCACAAACGTCACCCAAAATGATGCAAACTGGAGTCTGCTCTTCGTAAGGTCCCTTTAACTTTTGGGCTCGTCCCCGGCTGCACTCGGACTTTTGCTATAGTGCCTGTCTTTCCGCCACGGAGCGGAAGGCGGCATGTGCGAGACCTTTCAACATTTCCTATCACTTGAGAAGATCCACTGAGCCCGAGTCGCTCCTCAGAAAGACTTTGGAACATCACAGAAGATACGTATATACACACTTAGCTCTCGCTCTCTCTCTCACTCACTCACTCACTCACTCACTCTCTCCCTCTCTCTCTCGCTCCTCCCTCCCTCCCTCCCTCCCTCCCTCCCTCCCTCCCTCTCTCTCTCTCTCTCTCTCTCTCTCTCTCTCTCTCTAGCCATGTATATACCTATGTAGCCTACCAAAAAGGCCCTAGTCCTAGTCTGCAAGGGTCACGCGGGGGAGTAAAGAACCCATATGGGTTGTACTTAACGACTTTGTACGCTGGAAGGCACACATTCCACGAGATGTATAGGCCCAAGGCTGAGGGACTCCAGTGGAATCAGGACGCCCACTTCAGCCTCAAGCCCTAAAGACACGACTCGTGCACGATGATATCCTCAAGACGATGGATAGCATCCTTGCCCTTGCTCGGGGTGCATGCAGCTCCAGGACACTTTGCATGCCTTTGCTGAAGTTCGAGCGGCTTTTGAAACATCTGTACAAAGTCTCAAGACTTGAGCTGTCGCGTCGGTGCCTCTTCGTGCAGCTGGATTTATTGCATGGTGAGGAGCCGAGAGAAGTTTCTGGGCACTGTGTTAGCTCATGTTAGCTCGATAGTCCATAGACTTTCGATGACAGAGTAGTGTCCGTGCGTGGTGAGGCGCTTACAGCATGTGCTGGACACAGCTTGGCCTGCGATAGCCGGCCAAGTGTGTGCCAATGTGTGCCCTTTGTGTGCCCTTCATCCTGAGTAGCATTGCACATCCCCAGGTGGATCTGGCCAGATGCCCCGTGCTGACAGTACAGCTTCGACACGTTACTGAAAGCTTCTGGAGAGCACCTGGCACCTGGTACTCGGAGTAGGTTTCCCGATCCATGGATTCCCAAACTGCCTTCTTTGCTCCAAACCTTGGCACATGCGGGAGCCCATGGGTTGAGGCAAAAGCACCGAGGCACAGAAACAGGTCAGATGTTTGCAACAGTTCGGTACTGTTCGGTACACTTATGTGCACTTATGTGCACTTATGTGCACATGCTGTCAGTATTCCGCAGGTCATCTGCTGTAGTTCCCCGAACACCCGAAGAGCGAAGATCGGACTTGCCTTTGATGTGCTTCTTCGCTGTGCGTCATTGCGAAGTGCTGCCCACAGAGCCTTTCGAATCTCACAGAAGCCCCCCCCCCCCCCGGCCTTGACATGATATGTAAGGAATGTAGGGTTTTTTGTAAGTTTTTCATATGGTTGCCCTTTTTTTGCAACTTTGATACGGGTTTGAGGATGTGTTGAGCCTCGAACCTCATGGCATACGAGATCCATCTCAGCCTGCTCCGAAAATCGACTGTGGAGGATTTAAGGCCTTTGCCAGAAACGCGTGCGAAGTGAACGCGAAAAGGAGGGTCCGCTTCTGTGCTGCCTCAGGGGCATGTACTGTAGGGCCATCGGGGCTTTGTGGAGCCATGATGAGTCACGATGAGCCGTGATGAGTCATGAGCCATGAGCAGTCTGCGATGGCCTTGGGACTGGAGGTGCGGCAGACGGACCTGAAGCCCCCGGCTGTGGAAGAGCCGCCAGAGGGGCTGAGAACTGAGGAGTGGTAAGGGGTCACATGTCGGAGTCCATCTTGGCCACGCCTTCTTGTGTTTTGGCAGTTCTCGTTTTGGCCGAAATTTGTGACTTGTGAAAGGCTTCGTGAGATCTGTGAGATTTGCCGAGGCTTCCGCTGGAGCTCAAGTGGCCGGGCGTGCGCCCTGTGGCGTGGTCCACCAGGCAACCGTAGAGTGAGAAGGTACACGTAGGTATGCGATAGTACGACGAGTATTATAGATTACAGATTTGCAGGCAATTTCAGACGTCTAATGGTTGGTTTTCGGTTTTCATTTATTGGGGGCCACGTGGCTGCGTAACATGTTGCATGGCAAGAACAGGGTCAACACAGACCTCCCTATTCAAATTAAGCAGCATCGTTCGCAGAAAGGGCGGCTTCGTGAAAGACTTCAATGATGTCTCAGGCATTTCATCGCATGTCGCTAGAGACAAACATCTTAAGCTTCGCACGCTGCTTCCTTCGTGGCTCCAAACTCCACACGTTGAATGCCGTAGCGGGGAAGTGGTTCCTGCTGCGACCTTTGGCGCCGCCTGCCTCAGTTTCAAGCTGTGGTTTCTCTAAGCGCGCGAATCTAGGACAAAGCTTCGGCTAGGTATCACGCAGCCTGGAAATTGCTCTCCATGATGTACGTTCTTGTAGATCGATTATACGCCTGTCCTTTTCCCAGGTCCCTGAGATTGCACAGGCAGGCAGCTCAGATTCGACTTGTTCCCGTCCACGAACTTCAGCAGTTGTCGCTTCTGTCGGGGCAAAAACTCTGAATTCCACACGCAGCAATGACAAGCAACCGCTACTCCAGGATTGACGACTCATTCGCTGTTCAAAACGCCCTGAAACAACACTAGCTCACAGCTGTGCGCTCTCTGGCCACACCATGCCACATCTGCATTCTTCTTCGCTTCTCGTTTGGGCTCACCCAACCGCAAAAGCGTCAGCTGCAAAGAGGAAATTCAAATTCAAGCCCAGCTGCAGGCTCGGGCGTTGTGGGAAGCCTTCGTTACCAGTCCTCTCCATCGGCGCAAGAGGCACCCATGAGCAAAGAAGAGGTTTAGGGCAGGTGCGTTTGACCTGAATTCAGGTCAGTTCGGTGCCATTGCGAGGGAGCCTTGTGTGATTCTTTGAGTTTGTCCATCGCCAGCCTTTCTACGTATATGAGACCCAGCCAAGACTTGTACATTGTGGGTCAACGGCGCCTTCTGCGTTGCAACGTGAGGTCAGCGACCTCGTTCTGGGTTCCCTGTAACCCGCTTTTAGCCCAAGACCTCTAGCCAACCTGCGCAGGGTCGATAAGCAGTATTCTAAGGTGCTGGAACAGAGTCGCAGTATCTGGAACGTGGAAGGCACCTTTGGTTCAAAACATTGCTGCAAGCAGCCTTCAGAGAGCTGTGGAAACGGCTCCCCCCCATGCCCCCTCCCTCCCCCCCCCCTCCCAGCCCCAGCACTCCCGAGCCACTCACCCAGCTTTGCGTTCGCACGTTGTTCACGTGGGTTTGGGCCTTTTCGTTGGGTACTGTTTTGCTGGCACCTCAAGGATAATCTATCCCGCGAAGCCATTTCTTCCGGGCGGTGATCTTGTGGCTCATATGATCCTGGTCTGTAGCTGGTTTGACAAAACTTGACAGGTTGGGGGATGACCTGTGATGACCGGATTTCCCCACCTGGACTGCAGCGTGTTGCTCCGTGTTGATAAGGGACTGTGTCCTCTGAAGTCAGGAGGGCCGGTGTCTTCGGAGTCTAACTTCCACCGCCGCTAGCTTGTGGGTCGCCTGAAACCTTTCAACGTTTTGTGCATCGCCTTTATCAAGGCATTTCTCCGCTTGCGTCTTGGTTTCCCTGTTGCTTGGGCTGCAAGATCTCTGGGGCCTCCACGGACTCTCAGAATGGAGCTGAAGATTAGGTGGCTCGGTGTATACTGCTATGCTGTATGGCTATATGCACTACATGCTATATACTTTTGAGGGGGCGGGCCGTAGAACATGGGAAGCCCTACGGGTTAAGAGGCCCAGGTTGTGGCGCCCATCAATTTTTCACAGAAAGAGCCTTACCTTGTCCCTTGGTCTTATGTGGAAAAGATAACTGCTGCGGAACTTGGATGCAGTCCCCAGTGGACATATCTACATGTGCCTGGGGCAAGAGACAGCTGCACTTTACCAGCAGAGCCTGACTGCATCTTAGTCAAGAGTCTTGGCGAAAGTACCGGGAACTTGCTCGCGACGTGATGCACCTTGGCATCTTGGGCAACATGAGAGCTGCCTTGGCAAAACGTGCAGTAGGATCTCCGAGGTACCCGAAACTTGTGGTGCAAAGTTCCCAAAGTGCTAAGCCGCTAAGCATGTAGTGGTGTGTGTTTTGGGTGCTTCACGAGATCCGCGTAGTCTCGCATGCTGTGGCTGAATACGATATCTGGGACAGTCGTGCCTTGGCGCTACAGAGTTCCGCCACTATGCGTCTAAGTTCGCCTGAGCGCCTTTCTGCAAGTCTTTTGATGAGCTGGAAGCTGCGTGCACCCGAATGGCGGCAGTATGCGGCAGTGACGGCTGTTGTCTGCATGGTCCGCCTTGAAGAGCAACTGCACTGCTCTTCGGAGTTCCTGTCCGACACCGACATTTAAGACCATCCATTGGTAACCTCAAATTTATGGGCCGTTTATGGGCCAATATGCAGCAAAGTATTAAATCCGTGGCATCGTGATACATCAGGGGCTGGGATCAGGTGGTTCATTTCGATTTCGCGTCTGCTGAATGACCCAATGATGGCCAAAGGCACAATGCGCACCTCCAGAAATAGACCCCCTAGCTCGGCAAGAGGGTCAGCCAGTTATGTTATCTAAGGCGTGGCGACTTTCAAGGCAGTTTGGAAGTTTGAGCCTCCTCCTGTCCTGGCGTATTCTAGGATCGTTCCTATCACAACCTACTGAGGTGAATTCTCGCTCTGACTTCCCGAACGAAAGACACTTTGGCACGCAGACAATCTAAAGTCGAACCACCGTGTAAGAAAAATGAAGGGGCAAGCTGTTTAGCAACCCAGAACCAAACCTACAAGTGTGGCTGCAAATATGACGACGGTGTACTGTGTTACATAATGCGCACGCTCACACTAAGACCCCTCTTCCCCCAACAAATCTGGAGAGCTAGACCCGAACATGTCAACAATACGCCACCCTATGAACTGTTGTGCAAAAACTCGCTGCTGCAGGCTTCAGCTTCAAGTGGGGCTTTGTCCCTGATTTACTGGAACAATGTCGCACACCCATCTATGCAAGAATCTTGCTGATCCGGGTTGTGTGCGAGGGCTTCACTTCCTGGTACATAAGACGGACACCTTTGCATTCCTGTAAACAGTAGTCAAAGATTCCCGTCTAAAAGCACAGCCGGCTATATGCATAAGGTCTTCGTGCTGAGGTCAAGGATGGAACATTTCTTGTGCACGATGTACAAGGTGTTTTTTGTGTTCAGTATCACAGGGCTTGGAGATGCTACTTCCAAGCTGCTGTTGCATGTTGAAGGCTCTTCCTAGTTTCGAAGTACTCAGTTCAAGGACTCTAAGACGGAATCTGTGAGTATCTATCTGTGCTTCTTCTAGAACGATTCTGCGGCAAGCTCGCTTTTACATTGCAGCGTCGACAAGACTTAAGTTTAAGGGGGTAGCTCTGTTGGATTTCGGGCTCAATCAGTGACTCAGATTGTGTTACGCAAGTGAAAAAGCCGCAAAGCCGAACCGATGTTGGAGCAAGCCTTGGGCTAAGGTCGACTCCTCAAATTCCTGCCTCACTATGGCAGAAGGCTGCACGAGCGTTAATGAGTCGCAGCCCAAATGTCAGCGCATTCGGGGGCACTCAGTTCTCCAGGCAACGTGCCTCGGTCGTTCCTGCCGGGCCGGGGGGGGGGGGAGAGGGGTACATCATGTGCCATGGGGCTCTCTCCACTGGCTCTCTGTCTCAATATCCGTCTCTTGGGAAGCTCATGGCTGTATGATCTGTGTGATGTTGCCAAAGTACGCCCTGTCTTGAGACCGAGCTCTGACATAGAAAGCGTGGCTGTGAATCCTTTGCCCAAGGTGATGAAAAGAAAGACGAGGATCCGAAGCCCGATGAGGGCAAAGGAAATGACCAGGACCACGTTCGCATTGCATGGCATTCAGTAACTCAGTATGTTCGTCGTTGCATATGACAGCCCGATGCATATGGGGGTTTAAGGACCGCAAGAAGGAAAGGGAAGCGGCCCTGGAGCAGGCAGAAGCCGCTGCCGGGCAAAGCTCAAGCAGAGTTGTTTCGAGTCTCGGCCATGGATGCGTGCACCTACTTTAGCAGTTGGGACTCGTCACGCTAAATACCCTTGCAGTACCCTCGCAATGCCTGCTGCAACCTCTTTCCGAGGGGTTTGCTGTAAGGGCAAGCTTTCCGGGTGTCGCAAGAGTATTTTGTGTGGCGGACCTTGAACCCGGAAAACTGCCGGGGGGGCAGAGGGTCCAGCCTTTAAGCAAAAGAGCAGCGACGCGGCATGCAGGCACAGGCTGCGCGAGCAGCTGCGCTTCCGGCCCAGGGCCTTGGACTCCTCGGAGACAATCTGTAGCAGAAGACGAGTAGAAGCTTTTAGAAGCAACCTTTTGCAGTAGCTGTGGCCGTTGCTGATGGCAACGCACTGAGAGAACCTGCTGTTGTGGACTCTTCTGGCTCAAGTCGCTTCATCGTTCACTCTCATCCAAGTGGAGTCATGTAGAGTCGCCAGCCATGCCTTGGTGCGGGCCACAACATGGGTCAAAGGTGCTCAGCACCGGCGATTGGTTTGACGTCATGCCCAGCTTCTGGGGAGAGACAGCCAGTGGCTGCAATTTCAACCACCTCCATGCAGTCCAACTCAAAGGTAGGGCTGTCCCCCCGGGAAGGAAGAAAAAAGGAGGTTGGGGGGTTGTTGTGATTCGACCCGGCCCTTTTACACAGGCGAGCGCCTGGACATGAAGCGCTTGCGCCTGGCACTGGATCGTCTGCAAGCGCAGCATCCGCGGCTCCGGGCCCGGCAAACATGGGATGCCTGCGGCCAGCACTACTTGGCCCTTGGCTCAGACATTCAGAGGCTTCAGGAAGACATCTTAAGTTGGGTCACCCTGCTTCGACTGAGCCAGGGTTCGCCTCGGCCCGTGCATGGAGTTACAGCTTTGAGGACGGTTGCTGTGCATAGAAGCACGACGGATTCTTTTCAGGTGGAAGACAGCACGCCCCTACCAATCTACGAGAAGATTGGGCAGGACGTGGCTACAATGAACCTGGATCTGGAGGCGGCGCTCATGACTCTCGGCTGGGGTTCTTGCACTTGCAGACAGAGGGCTTCCAGTCAGAAAAGCATTCCCACTGGATGAGGGCCTTTCCAACAAGGACCCAAATGGACGTGCACCCCTCGGTGTTTGTGACCTACATATGGCATCTTGGCTGGTTGAGAGAAAGCCTCGCTGAAACCGAAGCTGCGTGCAACGGTGCTTACAGTTACATCCCTGCACTCTGCGTCCTGCTTGGCATGGCTGCGCCAGAAGTGCCAAGGTATGGCGATGCAGTGCAGCGGGCACTTCTGATTGTGGGCATGAGGTGGGGGCTTGGCCTGATAAAGGCTGTAGCGGCTGCGCAGAAGGAGCTTTTGACTTTTGACCCAGAGCTCTGCTTTGTGTAAACGTTGACCCCCATGCCAGGCATGGGCCGGGGGATGGTCGGGCGGTGGAGATTGCCCTCGCGCACCTTGCCGGCATTCTGCGGCACGTGCCCGCGTGCTTCGCCATGCCGCTACAATCATCCGGTGCGACCTCTCAATCGCTGTTCTGCAAGGCAGCTGCTCTTGCTTTACGAAGGACGGCCGCTTCCGGAAGGAACCGGCAGCAGCCGCCCGGTGCTGAAGTGTGGTCCAAGCCCTCATTCTTCTTTGGGTTGTACCGTAGCCGACGTTTTGTCTTTTTGCCATTGCTTTCTTCGGTGGGATCCTGTGCATCTTTTTGGGCAGAAGCGAGAAGCTGATCATCACCAGTAGCGGCTGCCAATCAAAGTGCTACACTAATGACGAGTCGCAGCAGCAGAAGAATGATTCTGCAGCGCCGAGGCCACATGAACTACACAGAGATTGTTGGCTACCGGGGGAACTTGAGCCCGGAGCAGGTGCGGAAGTGGCGGTCGATCGAGGCAGACTATCCGCCAAAGATTCGCAACGCCCAGCATGAGCCTTGGATGCGGGTGCAGCACGTGTTGGCCTGGGTTAGTTGGTACTCTGAACGGAGCATGCGCTGAGCTCAAGAGCGCACACAGCAGAAGTAAGGACACCTTCGTTCAGCCGCGGCACCCAGAGTTCCGGGCAGTTTTCGAGGCTTCTGCTTTATTTTGCTGTCAAGCCGAGAACCTGCTGGGCAAGGCATCGTATGAATGACGGATGCCAACTCAACGCCTTGCGAGGGCTTCTGCCTGGAGCTGATGCGCCTGGACGCCCAGGAGACGAAAGCACTGGCCAAAGCCAGCCGAGCTGCAGGAGCAGCAGCAAGAAGAGGGAAGGCTGTATACAAGGGAATCGTCATGTCGGTTCCACAATGTTCCACATGGGCTGCTGAGAAGCCTGAGGGATCCTGAGAGCTTGGCTTGCGTGTGAATTCACCATATTCAGCAGCAGAAAGTAAACAAATTACAGTGGAGTCTACCGGTCTACCGTAGCTGTCCTGAGAATGTGTAGTATAGTTCTGTGCCCGGCAGAATCGGAGTCATGTTTTGGATGCCAGCGAGAATCAGCCCGAATGCTCTGCTGGCAGGAACAACCGTGACCGGTGCAATCGTGGCCGCAGCGCACCTGGCTGTACTGAAGGAGCTCCATCGGGCACCGCAGACCCTAAGCATCCCTAAACCCTACACCCTAAACCCTAAGCCCTAAGCCCTAAGCCCTAAACCCTAAACCGCAGTAGCCGGAAGCCTGGTTGGCTGGCTTCTATTTTCCCATTGCCCTGGGCCCTGCGAGGAGCTTCACTCCAGGAATCTGGAATCCGATCGCATCTGCATCGGCCTCCTCATGAACGAGCGCTCTTTTCTAGAGGCACCCCCTCTTCTTCTTCAGGGATCGTGTTTGAATGTGAACTTGAGAACTTGCCCTCAGGGCTCAGCTAAGCTGCCATTTGGTGCCTGAGGACAAGCGCTATTCCCAGGAGATGGGGAACTTTGCAAGCGCCCTGCACTGGTTTTCGGAGGTCCAGCCGGATTTCTGGCACACAGCCAGGGAAGCCCGTCGATTCATGGATCGAATCATCCTGGAGCGACGTTTGCGCAAGTCACGGAACAGGCTGACGGAAATGCCGTGACAGGCTGATGTGGCACGACTGTGTGCTGCATGGTTGGACGTTGTTGCGCAGGAGGGAGCTAGCTTCACCGGTTTCATCATCCAGAATGAGCCTCCCGGCCTTATGGGCATCAATTTCCATTTGTCTTGAGCCGGCACAATGAGACAGACTTCCTGCAGGTTCACTTCCGCAGAGTTCGTGCGGATGATGTCGGGAAGCTCTGCAGAGCTTCTGAGTGCCATGGGCCAGAGCGGAGACCACATCGCCGTGCCTGCGGCTGCATCTTTGGAAGCCCCGCTGTAGCTTTTCAGCTTTTCCATACGCTGGAGAAGCACTGAAGCGGGAAGATCTGTGAGGTGTCATCTCTGGGTGTCCTGACCAGTTTCGGCAAGTACGACAACTTTGAGGTACTCGAGAACATCCAGGCCTGTTGCATGTCGGCCTCTCTACAAGCTGTTAAGGGCCGTAAGCCCTTAGAGGCCCTAAACCTCAGCACGGGAAGGCTTGCACCATGGCACCACTGCGAGGCGGCACATGCGGCACTCATGGGCGTCAACTTGTCCGTCTGCACCAGTGGGGCCTCTGGTACCATGGCAATGAGTGTCCAGGTGACGAAGAGTCTCAATAGCAAATCAGGGCCTTTCAGTTGGCGAACCCCCATAATAACCCCCCCGCCCCCAAAAAAAAATAGCAAGAAAAAAAAACCGAAAACATCGGCAGCCAAGGAATGTGGTGCCAAGAGCCAGGGAGTTGGCCCAGGCACTATGCCGGCACATCAAGGCCTTCAGAATACGAACTTCTAAGTGCCGTTCAGATGGCCATGGGTTCATGTGGTGTTCATGCGGGTTCATGTGGGTTCACGCACACCTACCTTCTCATAGAACATTCAGAGGCCTCGAAATCCCTGCTTGAAGAATCGCCCCCAGCTGCATAGCAACAGGCAACAGCACCCCAACCTACATCAAAGGACAGGTTCGCACTCCAAACTGACCATCGTCGGTACCTTCCATGGTGCCATGGTGCACGAACGCATCCTCAGCAAACACATGCAAACGCGCTCCAAGCCCTTTGAAGAGAAACCCTAAACCCTAAACCCTAAACCCTAAACCCTAAACCCTAGAGGGAGCGCTGCCAGGAGGCCCTCAGCAACCCACCGCCCGCTGCAGCGGGCGAAGGCGAAGTCGTGAGCCCTGTGGCGGATGACTTTCGGGAGACTTGCGAGGCCCATTCCGACTTTTTTGCTGACTTGTGATCAGTGGCTTAGTACTAGAATCAAGTTGATTTCGGTGCTTTTGGGTTTTCCTTTTTTTTTTGGGGGGGGGGGGGAGAGGGGGGGGGGGGGAGGGGAGAGGGGGGGGGGGAGAGGGGGGGGGAGAGGGGGGGGGGGGGGGGGAGAGGGGGGGGGAGGGGGGGGGGAGGGGGGGGGAGAGGGGGGGGGGGGTCGTTGGTTTTGAAGTTCGCAGTGTTCTGGGGCTTTGGGGTTTGAAGCTTTAAAGTTTTAGAGGTTTGGGTTTTGGAGGTTCAGAGGTTTTGGAGTTTTGACGTTTTGGGGTTTAAAGTTTGGGTTTTAGGGTTTTAAAGTTCTGGGTTGTGGGTTTTGGCGTTTTGGCGTTTTGCGGTTCGTCGCAGACCTCTTAACTCACTTGACGCCTGAGATCATGCAGCCGCTGATTGCCAAGAACCGGTCCCGTCTGATCGAAGCGAAGAGGACGGGTTGATACTAGTAGTAATTCTAATGGCAGACGCGCAGTCGGTGGCAGCCGGTTCGCATTCTGGGCGATGCTTTGAGAACCGAGAAGACACGTGAGTAGCCAGGACGGCCCACGGAACAGATGCCATGATGGGAGACGTTTCGGGAGGATACACCTGGAAATCCCATGTGCTCGTACCGGTGGTGACCTTCTTTGCCATCTTGTCGGCTGGCCCACTCCAGGCCTTCCCTCTCTATGTCAGGCCAGGCTCAAAGCAAAAACAAGTGCAGTAATCCGGAGCATGTTGGTGGTATTTGCTTACTGGTAGGAGTGAAGCAGAAGCCTCGTCGGAAGGCAGCTCATTGACGCGGGAGTCTTCAGCTGGGCTTGCGAAGAAGGCATCTCAAGCTGTTCTGATCAGGAGGAGTCGTTGCGAGACCTTTACACGAGCACGTTCTCCGCGCAGATGCGCTTCTTTCTGCTGGTTGGGTTGGCCTACGATCTGCACCTCGGCTGGTATCTCATGCGCCGTGAGATGCTGCACTGTCTTC